TCAAAATACTTAAATACAACCCTAAATCAAATATTTTCCAGATAATATTTTCAACCAATCATAACTTTACTATTTCAGTATAAATTAATTCTTTATACAATAAAGCTTAATAGTTGGCTTTGAAACCTTATGACCAATCTTTCACATACTGATTTTCATATACTATATTGTAGGAGAGTATGCAATTAAGATTGCAGTATTAATATTATGACCAACTGCCATTTTATAAACAAGAAAATTAAATTCTCTAATCAAAAAATATATTTATTTCCAATTTAGGAGAAACATCAGATTTTTAAAGAATAAAGCTAATATTAACATTTAGCTTTTGCTCAAACCAATTGCTAATAAATAAAAAGATAAATTTTGTCCATGTATATAATTATACTTCATGATATCTAATGCATTATCTAAAACTCGCCATTTATAAACTATTACGAATATGTTTTAGCCATTTTCAAAATAACACACAGAATTAAATCCAGGAAGCAGAAAGTTCATAAATCTAAAGTTCATAAATCTTTTTTTCTAGTTAAAACAAAATGACCAATAACTCAAGCTTATTCATCCAAGTACATTATATTATATTGTTATTATATTATAATAATTATTGCAAAAATGTTTAAATATGATTAAAATAAATATTATAAATATATATAATTTAAAATAAATTCCAAAATAAATAAATCTAAATATTATTAAAATACATTTTCTGAATTTAAATAAATGTAAAATAAATAAATATTTAAGTAAAACATTTGAACAAGAAAACATTTGATCAAATCAATAATAAAATAAGGAAAACTAAATAAACATGTACTTGAATGTTTATAAATAATACTATAGCGAGTTGTTAAAATACTTTTAAAGAATACTTTATTAACTATTTTCCAGATGATATTTTCAAACAATTAATAACTTTATTATTTTAGTATAAATAGGTTCTAAATAAACTTTAATGAATGGCTTTAAAATTTAAAATAGAACTGTATCATAATAATTAGAGGTCCATGGTGGAATTTAATAGATTAAAACCCCGACTGTAAATGTTCAAATGTGTGAAGCAAAACCATTTGCACTTTCACTAAACACTAATCACTTAAAATGTATTTTAAAGTCAGATAAACAATAAAGAAGAACTTGAAAAGCAAGGTCACATATTTGATTCCCCAATACAGTGAGTAAATCTAACACTCAAATTGACTCTCTCTTTATATAAAACCATCTGCCAAACAAGCACATTTAATATGCATATGACAATAAATATGCAGAGTACCTCCATATCGGTTCAACATTTCAACGGTCAAAATGTTTGGAGGTGACCTGCATGACTGATTTCGAGAACTTAATAAGCCTGAGTACCCATAAGTCAGCAAGAGGAGCCTGCAGTCGCATTTAGCATCTCTGTCCCTCAGGGAAACTTTAGATAGCTGAAAGCAGGTCCAGAGGCCCCACAGTCTGCAACGCTCAAACTACTGTTTAAGAAAGCAAATGTCTGTAAGACAATAAAAGCCTTAATCAATCAGCCGCTGCGCTTATGTTTATGAGCCTGTAGCGCCAACCATCCATCACTCGGTTTTTACCACTCAAAACACAGACGCGGAGACAAAAGAAAGGCATAATGCGAGGAGCGGGCCTGCCGCATACTAAATTAATAAAACAATCGCAGCCTTTCACTGCAAAATAAGCAACATGATTTAGCACGCCGCTCCGAGAAGTTGCTTTTCAGGGAGAGTGGTCAGAAATGAATGTTTGTGTTCGTGACAGTTGTCATGTTAATAGCAGTTTTCAATGACATATTTTAAAGCATAATATCATAGTCTAAACACAACACAATCATGACAAACTGCATATCATTTAAAAGCATGAAAGGGTAGTTTTCATATTTGTTGACTGGTTTGAGGAACAATGATTTATTCATTTGTGACAAGATTACTCAACTGAGTCGTAAAGCAAGTAAGGGCCAATACTTTGCTACAGCAATCCACATGTAGATGATGAAAAATTGGTGGAAACCTCTGAACTGTCATGGAACGACTTCAAAGCATAACACCCATATTTTGAGAAAAAAAGTTCAGAAAATATTTTACATATAAAGAGAACACAAAACAGAATTTTTTTGATGAAGCGCTAACTAAAACACACATTTAGATATTTTACGTGTTTGTTGCAGGCTAAATTCAATCCACAAAACACAAAATCTTCACAATTTAACCAATTGCCTATACTACTTTTAAATACGATGTCTAATTCATAGATTTTGGGGAAAGGATGAAAGATATGGTAGACTGAACAAAAATTCAAGCAGTACTTCATCCAATTAAAAATCTTTCATTTCAGTTTAATATTATTTGTTTTATTTTTCAAATACTATAATGTAGGTTCAAAACATAGTTAAATAAAAATGTTTTTGATTAAGAGCTATTGTTTTGACCAATGTAAAATTTCGAGGTTACTCATTTTATGGGGATTTTGATTAAAGCTATATTTTCTTGTTTAGAAGTCAAATGTGCATTGAACCAGGTTATATAAAATTGTTCTCATCGAGATAGAAAATATTAAGGCAAATTATTTGTGATAAAATTTAGATGTGAACAATTACCCTAATTGTTTTTGTTTTTTTGTTTTTTTTGGATGAATGGATGAAAGCTTTTTTCCAGTGTTTGTATCACTCAAATCATAGTTAAAAACATACACAGGTCTATTGTTCATTTTTTTCAAATGGAGCAAATGAAGTTTGCTGGAAGTAAGGGGATTTTCACAATCTATCACTTTTTTTCTTAAACCATTTTAAAGGCTAATATTATTAGCCACACTTAAAATTTTATTATTATTACTATTTATTTTCTACAGAACAAACAACTGTTATACAATAACTTTTCTAGTTTAACTATCAACCTAACTAAGCCATAATTCTGTACTTTTTGCACTTGGCTAAATTATAAATCTTGCGAATTAAGTACAAAAATTTTATGTACTGTCATCATGGAGACGGAGATTTATTATTAAAACTTATAGAAACAACTAATCAAACTAACGAAAACTAAACTGAAAATTAATTTAAAATTTTTTTTTTTTTCTTTATGTTAAACGTCACTTAATCGCTAATCATTTTAACTTCAAATATGTGGTAATATGGGGTGCCATTTTATGGTCACCAATCAATAAAAAAGGTAAAGTTAAGAACTTTGCCCCATAAAATATCACAGAAAACTAATTTGTTGAGATTAAAATGTCTAATTTGGAACAATTTTGATATTTTTATGATATCTGGCTTTGGTGTTCTAGCAATTTTAGCATAAAAAAGGTTTTGTAAAATACATGTTTTACACAATATACATTTTTCAGCATATATAAGTACACCCCTCACAAATCTGTCTTTTAAATTCATATTTTTAATAGGAAGCTATGCAATATAGTATTTGTGCATATACAAAAGATTAGTCAGTACTAAATTAAAATCTGGAGCTTATATAACAAAATAACTTTCGATAACAGTCCAAAAACTAGTACACCCAAATTTATTTGTTAGAGAAACAAATAAATAAATACAAATTTAAAAATCAAGAGAAGCAAAACAATAAAAAATTTGGTGGACATTTTTTAGGTTATAATTTTTTTCAATATTTAGCTTGAATTGATTTTACTTTCAATTTCTACAGATGTTCTGTGACTAAATATCATTGTAATAAATATGTCTGTTTAATAACTCTGTTTTGTTTAAATGCACCAAAATACATTGCCTATATTCACTGAGAAATGGATCAAAATATTCATTTTCAAAATGTGGTGTACTCAATTATGCTGAACACTGTAATAAACTATACACCTATTTTATTACAAATAAGCTTAAATAACTTTTTTATAAATTAACTTTCAGACTTTTTTTTTTTTTTTAATTCAGGAACATACTGGCTTCTTTAACTAAGACTAAACATAGATTCTAGACCACCAAAGCATTCAAGATTTACAACAGTTTACAATGGATAAAGAAAAAATTGCAGCTGACAGGTTAATACATCAGCACATTCAGGTGAGCGATGTACGCCGTTCATTTTATCAGCTCATGTCGGAGGAGATATTATCAGCTATGAGTTCATTTTTGTCTTAACCTTGCCTGAGCTATCAGCCTCTCCTCCCTAAATGCAATTTGTTGACAGCTACTTTACAGAGCTGTGGCTGATGTTCAGAAGAGTGACGTTATCTGGCTGAGGAGGGGGGCAGGAAGTGATAGTGGAAAAGGATGAGTTCAAACACATCGCAGTGTGCGCATGTGGAGGACTGAAGGTAAGCTTTATCTAATCACGCTGCTCCGGCAGATGAAATAAACTTCTATGTGTTTTCATGTGTGACCGATGTGTTTGTTTTGGAGGTTAGTGTCAGTGTGTGTTGCTGCTTGTCCAGAAAATCATTAATGGTATAAATTTTTCTAACAGTGAAATAATATCTAAAATACACACATAGATTGGTTTTGGGGGTTTATGGGGACTCTCCAAAGCCATAATTTATTTTATACTGTAAAAACTGCTTATAATATGGCATTACCCTACCACTAACCCTAAACCAGGGGTGTCAAACTCAGTTCCTGCACAGTAAATTTTGCTGTGTTGAATAAACTCTTAAAGAGTTAAATTTAACACTGCACGTGAGTGTATTTGGCCCCACTCAGAATTGGTGTTAAATTAACACTTTTCATTGTGTTATATTTTCAGAGTAAAATTAACTCAATTTTGAGTTAAAATTTAACACTGGTCAACACTGAAAATTGTTAAGCTGTTTAACTCTGAACAGAAATTAACTCTGTCTGGTGTTCCTTAATTTAACACCAAACAGAAATCAACTCCGGTTAAATGTTAATACATCACTAATAAAGAGTTGATTTACAACCCGTATGGTGTTGCTTTAACTGTCATTATTTCACTCTGGTGCAATTTTTTAATGCTACTGAACATACTAAAAAAACATTAAACAACAAATAAAACAGAAAACGAAACTCAATATCAGTTAAAACTTTTATTAAAACATTCAGGCTTACAAAAATACAGTGCAAAAATTTCAAGTCTGCATAAAATGGCAATATGGTACAATATGAAGTACAGAATCAGTTGTACCATATTTTCTTTGAAGATCAAATGGTTTGAAATAACACAGCTCATTAACATTGACAACTGTTAAAACTTTTTCTGGATGCAGTCTGACTGTAAAAGCATAGTAATGCTCATCAAAACATACAGTTTCCATTAGTGTGCCACATAACAGTACATTTTCATTTTTGACAGCTAGAGTCATGATCTTACAAAACACTGGCATCTCATTTGCTACTTCTGTGCAGATAATAAAGTCAGGACGATACTCTGTGCCATGATGTTTGATCCACTTTACAGCATAGACTATTTCAGATATTACCACACCTAATTTTGAAGCAATCTCTGGGCCACCTCTAATTTCCCTGAGTTCCACCATCTTTCCTGGGCCAAGAGTCAGTCTGTACTGGCTAAAAGACTCCCAATACATTGCCATACAACTCTGGTGCTTTTTGGCTAGTGTTTTGGTGATGTTTTTGAAACTTTTTAATTGTGTTTTAAAGAATTTGTGCTTAGCTTCATAACGCATACACCATGTGTGCAAAATTGGACCAATTTTCCTTATACATTGTGGGTAATGTATCATGATGTGATGTTTTGGCAGAAGATTTTTTTGGGGGAATAACATTTTAAATAGCCGATGATGTTCAATTATCAAATGTTTAAAATAAGTGGTCATGCCATCTGTTAAGACAGGTGAAAAGACAATGTTAACAATCTGCAGAAGTAAAAGCAAAAGATGCCAGTGTTTATCATCTTTATGTATTAAATCTCCAAATATTAAAGGCAAATTGCGCAATAAGCACCAAGATTGAATAGCATTTAAACCTAAATCATTGCTTCCATCAAGCAATTTGACTTTTGGAGGACGGTTTCTCTGCTGATTGTAACCATAGTCAAAAGCATGTACTCTACCATCAAGATCATTGGCACTCAGAAAATTATGCTGAATGTACTGCAGAACAAGTTTTACCTCTAGCTGGGCAACTCCTTCTAGAATGTCGTGCATTATATCAACAGCAAAATTGGTGGCTGTGTTGAAATATTTGAGGGAATTTAATAAGCATGCCCTTTTGACACCATACACGTGAGGTAGTGTAGAATCAGACTGTAAAGTTTCACAATGCAGAGCATGCATCTCAGCAGTTCTTAGTTCAACCTCAGGACTATCTTCAGAGAACACTGACTGAAACTGATGCTTCTCAAGCAGACAAAAACGACAACAATATCGAGCCCCAAATGATTCCAGAAAGCCAAACAAGCTGTGCAGACCTAGGTTATCCCCTGTGACTTGAACGATAGTACCCTTGATGCATCTTCCAGACACTGGATTCTTAACTCCCTCAATTTCAAGCACTTTCAGATCATTGACCAGGGGCTCAATTATGGAGTTAAAACCATAGCGCTTAACATCCTGTGCATGAAAGAGGGCACATAAATGAATATTAACCAGTGAGGAGTTAAAAACTGGTGGGAAATTTCTTAATGAAAAATAGATTGCACCCAATTTATGTATACCTTTCTTTGAGCCCAGTGGATTAGCTGTCTCAAAATCATCATAAAATAACTGAATTTGTAAGGCGTCTTTTTCTGTAGAAAATAAAGGACTGCTTTTAAAATGTGCTGCATCACTTAAGTCCACATAAATTCCTTCCTTTGAAATGTGTCTGGGTTTAAACAAATGGGTAAGTTGTGGATTTTTTAAAATTGTCTTTAGAGTTTCTAAAATGGGAATATAAGAAAATTTATCAGTCACAACAACTTGATCAAATGTTCCTGTAGTTTTATTTCTTCTGCTGTCAAATCTTGTGCCGAGTACTATTTCACTAGGTTCAACAATTCCCCATTTTGCTGTAAACAGTCGCTGTCGCTTGACTTCCGAATTTAACGAAGTAAATGGATTTTCTAAATTTGTAAAAGATTCCTCTATTTTCCTTTTACTAACAGTGTCCTCAGAAGATAGACAGAGCAAAGCTGCATCCTGGGCTTGACTATGAATCTCAAAAACCACTATTTCCATAGATGAAACAAAACCATTTATTGCAGACTGACTTAAACCAGCAACTTTCAGTTGTGCAACAGCAGACGCACACATATCTAAAGTGTTCTTATTAGACTTTAACATTACAGATGTTGTGGCCACATCTTCAGCACTGTCACTCTGGTGGAACATTGCAGCACTATTTTCTTCCTCTGTCTCACAGATGCCACTAGGGTCACAACTCTGTTCACATTGTTTAGGATGTTTTATATTCAAATGTTTTCTAAAACCTGAGAAGGTACCAAACTCAGAACCGCATCCTGCCTCTACACATTTAAGTCGAAGGCTCTTTCCAGGAACCAAACCATGAACAAATCTGAAGTGCCTAACAAGCATTTTTGAACCATTTAATTCAGTCTCACAAACAAAACACTTCATGAGTGCACTGGAACTTTAGGCACCTAGTTAAGCAGCCTTGCCCTAACCTCAGCAACACGAGGACTTTCTTTCACTTTCCCAACATCTATGTTGTACACAGTGGTTTGAATGAAAGTGTACATGTTGTGCAGCATGGTGTTGTAAGAGGTGCCAAAAACATAATGTGCCTTAAACAGTTCATCAAAGGCACCAAGAGAAGAGGTGGACTTGCATGGAATGGCATGCTGATCAAGGATGATGAAGAACTGGTGAATTGAATCCTTCTGAGGACCTACAGCCAGGAGATAGGGCTGAGCGCTCGCAGAGATGTCTTGCAGCTGCTCCTCAATGTTTGTTCCACTCTAAAAAAAAGCAAGCAAGTAAAAAAGAAACATCACTAACAAGTTAAATAATAAAAAACTATGACAGAACAATCATTAAATAAAACCAGCAAACAAACCTTCTTGAAGACAACAAGATGATTTTCTGCTTGAGAAGCAGAAACTTTCCCTGGTCTCTTCCGGCCTTGAGCAGATGGTGGAATCAGATGCAACAGTAGTACTGAAGCAAGGTCGCTGTCCCAAACTGTTTAAACAGGTAACAAACAATTGGTTAATATCATAAATGTTAACTCGCAGCAAAACAATGTTGAAAACTAGAAGTTAACTACATAAAATAGCCAAAAATATATACAAAGTGACTAAAGCTACATTAACAATCTTAGTTTGAATCCAATTATTTGTAAATCTGATAAAACTTTGATCCAAACTACCAACATATAAAAAAATTTATGAATATGATTTGCAATAATACACACACATATATATGAATGAATTCCAATTGAATATGAACAATTAAAAATTAAACTGACAGTGTGTAACTATGGCTAACTTCATTCATGCTTGGGTTCCTTTAAATATTATAATAACCATGGTATGAAACATTACCTAAACAATCAAAATTCTTACCAATATGAACATCATCTTCAGTGTCATCACGAAGAGATTCTGCTGCTAGCAAAAGTTCCTGTAAATCGCTGGTTGCAGGAAGTCTTTTGCACTGCTGAATGACTTTTTTCTTGAACGCTGTTGTCCACTTCTCTAGCAGCTTGCCTGACACTCCTTCTCCAAACATCAGAACAAAGTCTTGCTCAATCTAATAAGCATAACATTTTAATTATTGTAATGCTTAGGGCAAATCTTTAAACTCATGTCACCACTGACTATTTGTTTTTTATACAACAAACCATTTATCAAATATGATTATAAACACTTACCAAGCCTTTAATGTCCTTGAAACGAGGAAAAATTGTCAATAGATCACTGGACTGCATGGGATCAAGAACCATCTTACGACGATAGTCAAATGTCAGTTTCATTTTCTTCTTGATGGCATCCTCATCAGCAGAATGGTTCATGAATGCAATTGCTTCCTTGCATTCATCCTCACTCAGGACAATCTCTGAAGTAAACTTTGAATGCCTTGCTACAGTTGGTCCACCGGATCCCCGCTCAGCATACGACACTTGACCTAACAAACAACAAAACTATTTTAACTGTTTGTTTATACAAAATAAAAAAAAATAATCATCCAAGCACAAAGAAAATTAGATTGCTACATTTCTGAAGTTCATTTTGTACCTTCAAATGATCCTCGTCGTTCTTTAGCCAGGTTTCTCTGAATAGTTTTGATTCTCCATGCCAAATATCCGGTGCCACTCTCACCATCATAGTAATGCTCCTAAAGAGATAAAAATGGGTAAAAAGGGGGACACAGGAGCAAAATATACCATCTGTAGTATAGGTGTGTAAAAAAAAAAAAAAAACGTGACAACACAAATGTAAAATTTTAAAAAGGTGCAAGACTTACAAAGCCATTTTTGGAATAGGGGTCACTGAGGTAAGGGAACAAAGCCACGATTCCTCTGGCATATTTTTCTTTGACCAGCCTTGGTGGGGACCCTCTGCAAAATAATGATTAATTATAAAAAATAATAAAATAAATCCACAACTATATCAAGTAGCTATGTGTACACACAAATCAGTACTGTGCAGATTACCCATTTTTTTCGGTCATATCAGCTGCCAGGATATTAACCATTTTTCTCCTCGTTTCATCCTTTAAAGCCTTTGTTCTGTTATACTCATTTATTATACTCTCGCCTCCAGGTTTCTTGACAAGAACAGATTGCACCAGCTTTAAAATAAGAGGGGAAAAGGCAGGTTATAAACAAATTAAACAAACACACCTAACAAAAAGCAAAAAAAGAATTTTTAAATAAAATGTAAATTATATATTTTTTCACTTTAAATCATTTTTATGTAGAAAAAAAAAAAAGTCCACCTTTTTTGCTTCATCATCCAGCTTCATTCGCTTACTGTCAGGGCCTTCTTCAATAATGACTGTATCCTGAGAGTCAAGGGAGTCAAAGGATGAAGACAGAGACTGATCGAAATGCATAGAAGATGATTGTGGAGAGGCCGGTTCCAAATCTGTTTGCATAAACAATATAAGGAGGGGGGGTCAGGAAGTCTCTATGACAAAAACTGTGAAACATTACAGTCAAATAATGTGATAAAATACAAACCTGCACCATGTTTTATGGTGAGAACGCCAACGGAGGGATCTTTGATTAACTCTTCAAAAACATCACCATCCACCTCAGTCCCAGATTCATCCACAACCTTCACGTTCTCAGGTACATTTGGAACCCCAAACTTCAAAAAGGCTAAACAATACATAAATAATATATTGCATAATAACAAAATGTGAAAGCTGATCAGTTATATACTGGTAACTCTGAATATCATCTGGAAACATAACACAGCAGCATATACATCAGTATTTAAATTGACCACATACCAAATAAGAAATCTGAATAACAAAAGTGTAATTGTTTCTTACCTGCAGACAAAAAGTCCTCCAGGTTCAGATTGGCTATTTTAACAAACTTTTGTGCATCCCCAAATTTCACCTTTACCAGCATGCTCTGTAGGAAAAGAGAATGTTTCATACAGGTGCCAATGGGGGGGATTTATAAATGACACAAAAATGGCACATAGGTTTATAAATTGTTGCAAGATTTTATAACCATTAACATATATTTATTATTTAAGAATTGGTCATCCCAGTTAGTAAAGTAATTACACAAGTACTTAAAGGTTTTACTCACGATGTGATCTGTAGAGCCTTATATGCACAGAAACTTGGGGGAAAAGAAAACACCAATATGTCAACAATCATTTTTCTGTTATGTCAAAGTATAACACACATTCACCATAGAAAAAAAAAGATTCTAATCCACTTAATTTTGAAATAATGTCTGTGCTGAAGGGTTGTCATGATACTGAATATTGGTACTGGAATTAAAAGCATCCATTTCCGCTAATATTTAAGTGTTTTTGAGTAGCCAAAATATTATTAAAATGTAATAAGTTGCTTCCAAACTCATCTACAACTAGCAAAGACGTTGCCACATTACACAAAATAGTCATAACTTGGAATGCTGTAAGAGTAAATCATCATTTATTGTTTACCTGGTCTTTTGTCTATGATTATCAGCTTCAGCTCTTCAAACGTCAGTGGTTCGTTCACGTCACACAGACCCATATTAATTAAGCTGCCAAAAGGAGCCATGATTTTAGTTTACCTCTCGAGTCTTCTGGTTTTTGAGTCGTTCGTTTATCATGTGGCAGCACGTGAAGAGAGATGAATCAAATCCGAAGACTCGAGAAATGAACGAATCAAAACATTTTCCGGCTCTAAATGCATGACTGGCTTCTGTCTTTCACGCGATGAACGAACGACTCAAAGCACATAGAAGACTCGAAAAGGAACGAATCTTCTGCTCCACCAGCACAATTGTGCGCGTGCGCAATTAAACGAATCACTCCGAAAGGACTCAACGTTTTCGAGTCATACAAAAGATTCATTCAAAATGAACGAATCGTTTATGAACGGCCCATCACTACATGTCACCGCTGTTTACCGGGCACAAACACAGATGCACGCCACTTGATCGTTTTAAAAGCCGCGAAGATGAGCTGGCGTGTCTAACGTTATGGGCTGACATTTAAGAGATCCGCTGATGATTCACAGTTTTAAAATGATCCGCTGTCTCTGTATCGGTGTTTGCACTCGGTAAACAGCGGTTAAGTGCGGTGAACTGGTGACCTTCACGGCCAAACGGCGGGGTTTAGGACCGCGCTCAACAGCGAATTTCAGTTAACTGTTACCGAAAAACAGTATCATGACAACACTAACAAGCTGTTAAAATGCAACCTCTTAACAGAGAAACGTTAATTAGGAAGTAATTTGAAATGGACTGAAAATATTTAACCAGCAGTGAGCTCGACAGCCATACAGACACAGTTAATTTTACACTACATATGTTCATATCATATAACTTTCTCTGTAAGTTACCATCTTAATATGTTGAAACAACAAAATACTGACCTAACAGTTACCTGGAGCATTGCAGAGTTGCTCTTGAAAGCAAAACTTCGAGGCTAAATGTAGCCTAACGTTACCGTCTTCTTCAGAGAGTTCACAGTACAAAACTAAATGGATATAAAAGTAAGATTAGAAATCGCAAAAACAATTTAAGTAAGATCATTGGCATCGTTTAAGCTTTATCTTTAACGTTAAGGTGACCACACTGTGATAAAATCGATGGAATGACACGGTCACAAAGTGACTCATAATCAATGTTTTAACAAACAAAACGCATCAAAGTACAACATATACCGCTGTGTTAGCACATTTACTCATATAAATCGATAAAATGATGTTTTAAGACGTTAAACAAGAGAGCTTACCTATACGCACGAGGGAGCAGAAAATGGCGCCGACAAAACTCCAACACGTTCTCTGCAGGGGGTAGATTGAGGGGCGGAGCTTAACAGAGCAAAGTTAACGACGTAGAATACAACTCTGATCATTTTCACCAACACAAGGGGATGTCTTTCACCGTTTCTTGTAAAATTAACTCATTTTGAGTAAATGCAGATTAACACAGCTTAATTAACACAGCGGATTTTACTGTGTGGAGGGCCGCTGCCCTGCACAGTTTAGATCCAACCCTGCTTCAACACACTTACCTGTACAGTAGATTTGAAGCAAGTCTAAAGGATTTAATTAGTTTGATCAGATGTGTTTAATTACTGTTGAAACTAAACTGTAGAACTGCAGGGGACCATATGAGAGTTTCAGAGAGCTAGCTGCCAGCAACTGTGCCCTAAACCAAACCCTCACATTCTGTATTAAAAAATTCTGTGTTAAATTTTAAAAATCAAAAGACTATAAAAAATGTGTTGAATTTTTCAAACAGTTTTGAATTATGAAGACATGGTGAATGTCCTCATAAACCACCTCAACATTGTAATATGTTGTAATACTCATGTCATTATACTAATTTGTGTCCTCGAAAACCACTAAAACCAGTACACACAATAGTTAAAAACTGTCTTTAATAATGTGTAATCTGTAATTACTGTATTTAGTAATGTAATCTAATAATAATTTATAATGTAAAGTAATTATTAATCTAACTACTGTACATTACTACTAAATAAGCTAATTATGCTAACAAATATATTCACTACTTTAAATAATTGCAGTTGAATAGTTGAATATAAGAAGAAATCGTAATGAAAAGAACAAATCATAATGTATTTCATAACTGCATTAGGCATAAACGCAACTTTTACCATGCAAGTTGTTTCATACTGCAAAAATTGTTTATAATATGGCCTAACTCTAGCCCTAACCCTAAACCGAACCCTCACATTATGACGTTTAAGAGTTTGAATTATGAGGACACAGGGCACACAATAATATAACCCCAAACACTATCTAAATAATCAAAAATGTGAAACAAAATTAAAGTAAAACATTTATAATTTTTCCATTGTGGTAAGTTGCATGTGCCAAAATATGATGCAACATGATTTTAAAAAATGCAATAAAACTATGCTATACAAAGTGCATCAGTGTTAAAGTGGAAACCATAAAGTGTGTGTGCGTGTGTTGTGTGTGTATCTCTGACTATCTGACAAATGGTGGCATCTGACTGCCTGACAAATGAATCACAGTCTGGTCCATAGTTTTCATCGTCTGATTTAACAACCCTGTTTCAACACAACATCAACTCTGTTTACAGGTACCAGCAGGCCTGGGTGTCACTCCGAGGTCAGAGCGAGGGGACGACCCCCAAAAAGAGGCCACTTTACAGAAACAAGAGTCCTTACTGATGTAGAAGCATAGATGCAAGAACGTTTTAATGACGAAAACTTATGCTCTGTTTTAGGCTCTACCAGATGATGGTCTGATCAGAAAGAAGAGAGATTACCACACACACACACACAAACTCATGGTCTGAAGAGATATAATGAAGAATGAGAAAGCAGTAGTGTGTGCCAGTGGTGTGTGTGCAAAGTGGGAATACAAACAAACACAATTTTGATTAAAAATTAATATTACAAATTTGACTGAAATAAGCACATAACTGTAGATATTGAAATGAATAAATACAAGAAATATAATAAGAGGAAAAATGTAATAATGTAACTTAATAAATATTTGAATCAAGCCTTATTCACACTAGCAGTGACTTTCTAGCTGCCTGTCGCTCTGGGTGGAGATCTGCTGCAAACACAGGTGTATGTCTACAACACGGAGGATCGAACCGGCCTTCAAGCAAGCTGAGAGAGATCACATGAGCTCTACGGGTGCTCCTATTGGCTGTCCCTTAACAAAGTTGCTCTTCATTTGCATAAATTTGAAGGATTCTCACCTTTGTCGCATCGCTCAACATGCCCACCTGGTCTCCAATGGTCCCTTTCACTTGCGTAGACCAAGGTTATAATAGTTTTAGTTTTTTAGAAGCAGATTTACTAGTTTTTTTATTAGAATAAAAAACTAGTAAATCTAATATAAAATATATTTCTATATTTTGAAATGGCTTAGTTTTAGTTTAGTTTTCATTAGTTGCAGTATTAGTTTTTTTTTTCTAAATAAGGATATTTGTGAGGTGCAAGATACAAAATTATCAGAATAAATATTGTATTATTAAAAAAAAATCAACCATGCATTAAAACATGTATTCAGAGGACACATGAACACTATCATCTACCACTTCCACATATCCATCCATAAATTCAAATACAACAGCCCACAAGACAGCAGCCCTAAGTACAATTTGTGTACAAAGCTTCTTTTGGGGTTAATATACAGTAGTGATGGGAAATTCAGATCTTTAACTCGAACCAGATCTTTTGTGACAATTCTCCCATGTTGGGACTCAACATACCAAAATTATGTAGTCAGCAATCATGATCTCTGTCAAAACATCCCCATGATCTAAAAAAAATTCTTACTATTAAGTTTTGCAACCTAACTGAAACATGATTCACAAATTCCATGTAAGTTGTTCAAGTTTAGTTCAGTCACAGCAGGCTGTCATGTACTGTTTGTGTTTGGTTCACCATCTGCTGAATCACGCATTCTCAAATCTCATCTCAGTGTACTGATCTAATAACTGAATAACCCAGTCAGAGGGGGGTATCAGGCATGTTAAAAAGTAAGTTGTTTGTGGACAAGAGTGCTTACTGGAGATGTGAATGGTGAACTAGTTCAAGCAGTTCACATAAAAGATCCAGTTAAATAGATTAGTTTGTGATCGCGATCACTAATACAGAAATAAAACCCACTATTAGGCACAAAAATGTGTTAAGGTAATAGTTTAAGTCTCTGTATTTAAGGCTTTCACCATGCTGCTGTCATGTCTACTTGTTGTTTTGTCGCAGGAACAACAGCAAGGATGACAGGGGGAAAACCGGCTCGATCTGGCCAATGGTAGGAGAATTACAGACTCTGAGGTGCTGTATGGGTCAAACACCTGCAGTGCGAAGTCAATAAATTTACTACTAAAAGGCTTAAAGTTAGATTTTGTTTTAAATACATTTACAAAGACAAAAACGAAGGACGTTTTTGCTATAATTTTAGTTAGTTTCAGTTAGTTTGTATGTACACAATACAGTGTCAGCTAGTTCTAGTTTTTTTTTTTTACTCGTTTTTGTTTTTATTTCAGTTAACCACATTTATTTATTTAAAAATAAATTAGTTATCCTTTTTCATTTGTTTTTGTTAAATATGATATCCTTGGCGTAGACTGAGGTCGCCAGAAGTTGCTCATTCTTCGTTGAAATAAACGGTCGCTTGTTGCTTTGCCGCTGTGAGTCACTCGTAGTGTGAATGAGGCTTCGGGATAGAAAATTACTTGTTTTTTCTTTCTTATTTTTCCTTGAGCCAGATAAATATTTACCTAATTATTTTATTTGATGGTCTGCATGTATATATTTAATATAAATAAAACGGTATATAATAAACAACACACTGTATGTAACAATTTTAAGAATTGTTTTCATGTGGTCAAGTTAACAAGCTCTTACCAAAAAAAAAAACATTCCCATGTTTTACCTACTAATGGTCTGATCTGAACGAAGACAGATTACCACACAGACGCAGACGCACACTCTCTGTGGTCTGAAGGGAAATAATAAAGCGGGAGTGTGTGTCCGTGTGTTGGTATGCGTATCTGTGTGTGTAAAGCTGGTTCTCTCTGTTATCGGGACAAATGGGCAATGTCTCTCAGTCGCTCTTATCTCAGAGGAAGGAAGTCAATGGGCTATCAGCACATGTGTATGCGTGTGTTTGTGTGAACTCTCTCTGCCTTAACACACACACACACAAACACACGCGCACACACACACACAAATCCTTTCTTCTATGCAATTCACTGAAGATGTGACATTAAAGGCAGGAGTTTACCTGTCTCTCCATGTCTGTCTGTGCTGCTGTCTGTCGGTCAGCGCATTTAGTAACACGTCTGCCATCTCTCTTCTGTTCTCCTGTGCCGTGGCCTCATCCTCAACCACCACCAACAGCAGCTGAGTCTGCAAAACAATCAAATACAAGGAAGATATGACTTCAAACTACACATTACACAAGGTCAGTTTCAGTCTGGAAATTTGATACGCATCATAACTTGACCAAATACCAGCCAATTGCCTTTTATTTCAGGGAAGAGATTTAGATTTTAATTTAGCAGGGAGGCATACAATTGAGCATAAGTATATAAACAAAAATAACCTGCTTTCAACATTGACGATAATATTAAAAAGAATGTTTTGAGCACCCTTGACCATAAAAGCAGGCTTATGCTGCACTAGTATATTTATGCTAAAAGTAAATAATAGCTGCTAAAATTTTCTGTTTTACTGTTCCTAAGGTATATGTAAAGTTTTTATTTATTTTTTTTTTTTTATGTGATGTAAAGACATCTGTGTTATTGAAACAATGAAGAAGACAGCAGAATGATTTATTTAAAATATTTAACCTGACTTTTCCAAAATATTACAAATGTTAGAACCTATTTCAGAGCAGTAATCACAACACTGTGGTACTGTGAAACTGTCATATTTTTATCCAAGGTTATCATGCTGTCAGAAACGTATATTGGCCCACTCCTATCTACAAGTGTTTAGAGTAATAGCTAGAAAATGCATAGTGTGTGTCAAAATTAAAGATTATTATTTTGTGCCAATAATCATTGGTATTTGACAGTTCTTTTAAAATACTCAAAATGTCTCTGGTAAATGAAATACAACTGTTTGAAATTTTTAATGTCACATCTGTCATATCCATAACGAAGCTTCTTCCTAATAAATACAAAAATGTCAAATAAAATCAATCCTTTTTGTTTTATAGTGAGCCAACACTCATACTTTACTTTTTTTTCTACAAATTTCTACAAAGTATGCTGTATACTGTAAACTTGCATACTTTTTTCATCATGTCCACAAGGCATGTTAATTTTCCTCATTTAAAATCTAAAAAATGTTAACACACATTTGCTCTCTGAATTTGTGTTTTGAATTATTACTGCAAATGTCACATCCATAACACTGCAAAAGTCAGGGATGTCCAGACTCGTCCCTGGAGGGCCGGTGTCCTGCAAGGTTTAGTTACAACCTCAATCAGACACGCTTGGGCTGGCTAATCAAGCTTTTACTAGGCAGTCTAGAAACATCCTTGCAGGTGTGTTGAAGCAAGTTGGAGCTAAAATCTGCAGGACACCGGCCCTCCAGGACTGAGTTTGGACACCCCTGCTCTAAGTAAAAATCATGTTTTATGAAGATATTTTGTAAATTGCTTCTTAAGAAAAGGAAAGAAAGCTTTTAAGTATACTTTCTAGTTATTTTGCATGAATCAGCAGAAGCATTACAATTTTGAAGTAAAGTTAAGCAGGTTTTGTGGGGCGGCATGGTGGCTCAGTGGTCAGCACTGTCGCCTCACAGCAAGAAGGTTACTGGTTTGAATCACAACGTGGGTGTCCTCCTGGTGCTCCAGTTTCCCTCACAGTCCAAAGGCATGCAGTATGGGTAAATTGAATAAACTAAATTGTCTGTAGTGTATGAGTGGGTGGGTGTGTGTGTGTGTGTGTGTGTGTGTGTGTGTGTGTGTGTGTGTGTGTGTATGTGTTTTTGTGACATATCAGGACACAAATCTGTATAATGACATGGGTATGACACAGGTATTACAAAAAGGAGGTGAAATATGAGGACATTGGTGACGTCCTCATTTCTCAAAATGCTTATAAATCCTACAGAATGAGTTTAATCAGACAGTAAAGCTGCACACAGTCTCCTGTGATGGTTGGGTTTAGGGGCAGGGTGGGTTGAGGGCAATACAATACACGGTTTCTACAGTATAAAATGAATGGAAATCTATGTAATTTTCACAAAAACAAACAAACGTGTGTGTGTGTGTGTGTGTGCGTGCGTGTGTGTGTGTGCGTGCGTGTGAATAAGTGTGTATGGGTTTTCCCAATACTGTGTTGGAAGGATATCTGCTGGATAAAACTTATGCTGGAATAGCTGGCGGTTCATTACCCCATGGTGACCTCTAAAATAAAGACTAAGCCAAAAGAAAAAGAATGAATGAGAATGTCTTGTAAAGAGCAATGGCAAGATTCTATTATAATCACAAACTGCAGTCCACTACTATGAGTGTTTTTGTTTTTTGTTTGTTTGTCTTTTTCAAAATAATATTTGTTTGTAAAAGGCAGAAAACATGCAATTATTTTTCTGGGTTGAGATGTCTTAGTAATACTTAACCATTTTTTACTCGTCTTATTCATGAGTTTGCTTCTTGTAAAACATTTACAACTGACACAAATTTGGCAACATAAACACGCATTGGGTTAAGGAGGCAATCTCTAATCCTTGAACATTCTCTACAAAGTAACAACCGTGCTTATCTTGATATAAAGGAAATAAAGGAATCAAGCTTTACTAGCAATCCCATAGACAAGCTCTTAGCCAGTGCTTAAACAAATCAATATACATTCATTCCCTTCATGTCAGAGGTCAAATCAATTCTTTACTTATGCTTCAGACTCCAAGATTAACACAGCAACAGAAACAGCAGGACATCATTTAATTTTTTTCCTCTGCACATTATCTTTTTGATAAATAAACAAATAAACCTATCAATCATTGTTGAGTTTCTTTATAAAAATAGCATCTAATGCTCACAAAGACAAAACAAAAATGCTATAGCAAATATTATCAGCGTTTATTAATTTACCTTTTAAACAGATGCAGGAGACCAAGTTTCACTCTTTTCCTCTATATTAGCATGAGCTAAAATAACTGACAGGCGAGGAAGCAAATGCTAAAAAAGTGCTCTTAGCGTTGGTTCACCTCACCTGTTTCACAGCAATCTCTTTTTTTCCTCATTTCTTTTCATCCCCCGTTCATCCGTAAGACAGCACTTCTGTTTCTCGCTGAAGCATTACCTGTCAGCAGCCGTTACCTGTCTCTAAGAGCCGAGCGCAGAGTGAAAGAGTCTGCCAAGACTAACTCTGACTGTGGGGTCATGAGGTCAGCCAAATCACCAAAGAAAGACCATCAGACCAAACATATACTACTGGTCAAAAGTTTAGAATGTTCAATCGGTCACACTTTATTTTGATGGTCTGTTTGTTAAATTTAAGATACATTAAATCTACATGCCAGTTAATTCTCATATAGATAATAAGTAGACTGTTAGGTTAGGGTTGGGGTTAGTGTAAGTTGACATGTACAGTACTTGCAAAGTTTCTTATAGTCAGTTAAATGTCTGTTGAAGGAGCAGTTTAAATAGATATTAACACGACAGTCTCAAATGGACCATCAAAATAAAGTGTTACTGTAATTTTTTATTTACTTATTTTTTTACTGTGCTCACCAAGGCTGCACATTATTATTAATTAAATAATAATTAAACTATTTGTAAATTAGCAGTTTTTTGTATTTGTTTTTATTTTTCCAGATCTAATTATGTTTTGGAATTGCAATGTGAGACCTTAATCTGTCTTCCTACAACTTTTAACCTTAAAAGTTTGAAAAAGTGACTTTTACGAACATTTTTAACAGTTTAACGAGATATATTGTTTGGGTTGGTGTTGTATATTATGGTACAAATACCTTGTAATAAAGTACCAGTACAGTTCTGTTATTTTGATTTATTCTATTAACTTATATTATTTCTTACACATTATATTATTTCAAACTACTAAAATGTCAACAAAAGTCCCTTAGTTAAACTGTAGAGTTGAAGTTTTAGCATTAAAAGTCGACAGGGCAAAGATCAACATGCCATAATGCAAGTCATAATCGTAAATAAACAGAAGACACTTTTGAATCACAAAACACAGAAACTGTTCATTTACAGATATTAATGTAATATGTAATTCATTCCTGTTATTTAGCAATATTAGAAATAAACAACAGCATTTCTTGCTTTTTTAAACAATTTTATGTGTCCTTGAATAATAAAAGTAAACATATTTAATATGCTTTTGAGCTGCACTGTATCCCAGGTTCCACAAAAATATAATCCGGCCCAACAATTTCCAACACTGATAATAATAATAATAATAATAATAATAATAATAATAATAATAATAATAAGAAGAAGAAGAAGAAGAAGAAGAAGAAGAAGAAGAAAAGTAGGTACCACTTTAAAATAAGGTTGTGTTAGTTAATATTAGTACTGTAACTACTATCATGAACAAACAATCACTCATATAAACACAATTCTGAACCACATTTAAAAATAAAGCAGTTATTTTAAATTGCAATACTATTCCACAAATTGGGTTTTTAAAAAAAGAGTTACTTTATTAATTCAGGGTCCCCACAAGCGGAATCAATCACCGGAGCATCCAGAGGAAACACACACGAACGTGGGGAGAACATGCAAACTCCACACAGAAACACCAACTGACCCAACCGAGGTTCATATTACCAACCTTCTTGCTGTGATGCATGCAACAGCACTACCTACTGTGCCACCGTGTCACCCAAAAAAGAAAATAAGTTGAGCAAATTTTCACAAATTCAAATTATCTGCATAGTTGTTAGAGTGACTTACAGTAGTATTGGTAACCTAGTAACCACCAGTAAACAAGGAGAGTAAAATGGAGACTGATGGGTACTGGGAGTAATCTTTGCTATGTCAGATTTTATTCGGCAAATGTGTTTCCATCATTCAAGTGAATGTGAAAATGTTCCGCAAATTAAGAGATTTTTAGTTTCAAATTTGCTGTTTTCATCACTCATTTCTAATTCAATACTTTAAATGTTAAATAGAAATGGGATAGAAATCCAGCTAATGACACACAAAGCAACTGGAGGAATAGCACTTTTACTTAAAAAAATGCAGTATGATTACAGTAAATATATATTAATATGCTTTTAAGCTGTACTTTATCCCAGGTTCCACAAAAACATGATGCAGCAAAACAGTTTTCAACACTGACTATAATATTAATAACAATAAGAAGAAGAAGAAGAAGAAGAAGAAGAAGAAGAAGAAGAAGAAATGTAACATAAGGTTGTATTAGTTA